TTCTGACCCCATGCTGCATGTAAGTGCTTCCTTCCTAGTTTTCACTGCAAACACAGAAGAGCTTCTATTAGTTTTGCGTCTTAGCAGAAAAATTTTAAAACAGCGATTTTAACCATTGAACCTTGCTTTTAGAAGACCTCTGCTTTTCAGTATTATAAAATTAAAAATTTTAAACTCATTTAAGGAAGCCATAATGAAATAAAATCATAAAACAGCAGTTCATTGTCTAAGTTTACACCAGCAGGAGATGAACACATTTTTCTTCCTTTTTTTCCTCCTTCCCTCCCTCCCCTTTCCTTCTATTCCTTCCCCTCTCCCCCCTCCTCTTCTTTTTTAATAAAACCATCTAAAATATCACAGAATCTTTTTTGTACAGTAATGATGTTTTATGGTGGAAACTGTTTTGCAGACTTTCTCTGCTTTCTGGGAATAGTTTTTTAAATGGCTGTCCTACCCTCTGAGCAGACAGACATCTGTTGAATTCTCTCTCTCAGCTACTGTATTCTAGGTATGACCCCAAACAATAGTCAGCATTTACCTTTACTTTAAACAATAAAAAGGGGATTCTGTGGGTTTTAAGCCATCATTAGAGATTTGCATCCTCTGTAATAACTTTTGAGATATTTTCTCAGCATTATACAACTTAGCCACAGCAGAGAAAATATAGCGATAATGAAATATGCATGAAAGGAAACATTTTTAAAGGTTTTTTTAAATGACTCTGAAACTATAATGTGTGAAAGATTTTTCCCCCCATGATCCCAGTTTCAAATTCATGAGTTTAGAAGGTGTCTATTTCTTGCTCTCTCATGTGGCAGAGTACTGGTAAATGGAAGCCAGCCACACCTTATCTTTCCCTTTTATCAAGAATAAAGTCCAGTTTTAATGAAGCATTGACCACCCAGTAGAAAGAAACTGCCAGATTCCACTGGATCCAGAATTCTACTGCCATTCATTTCAGAAACAAACAGTGCCTGCAATGCAAATCTTATTGACATGGTGGAAGATATTTCCATTTAGAGTGCTGGCTAAATAACTCAGAGTTATTTGTATTGTCAGACTACCAATATTTGTGCATTACTCTAATAATTGCCAGGAGAAAAGGCTTTAGTTTTCTCTGAAGCCTGGAGTTAAGAAAGAATTTACCAGATTAACAACGCTTCAATTTTTGTGGTACATCTATTTGGTTATTTCAATTTGAAATACTCATCTAGGGTAGAAGACACTTAATTTTTTCAGTAAAGAGTGGCCTTGCTGACATACAGTCAGTTTATTTAGTGCTTGGCATGTCATTCTCTTTCTCAGACTAGCATAATCCATGGATCTGATGTCACCTCCTATTGGACATAGGCATGGGGAATCACTCCATTTTTCTATTGTAGGACTCACCATGTACACATGTGATATATCTGTCTCTTCTTCCCACCTCCCCAAGGACATCTTGCCACCAAGAGGAGAATGCCCATTTAAAGAGAAAAGGGAGAGGATGAAACTCAGTAACATCACTTTGAGGCTTCTGGATCCAGCCATGCCTGAAGCCCCAGCTATTTAGTTCCATGAAATAATACTTGTCCCCCGCCCCCTGTCCCATAAATTTATAAATTAGCTTAGTTAAGGTCACTTGCAAGCAAAACAATTCTAATATAAGTAGTGAGCAATCTTCTGCATTGCAGGGATCCAGTTTCTTATGTTTTTAAGATTTAAGATTTACTGTTAAGTTTGCTTAACATCTATGACATTATTCTAAAAATGATCTAGTTTTTTACTATTTGGTACTGTTTAGCTTATTCATATAGCCACAGAAATCTATTGACAGAGCTCTTTACTGGGCAAGGTCAATCTTGGAAAGGTAACATGGGGAGGCAGACCTCAAGGGGAAAACTGAAGAGAACCATTTCCCTCCGCAAGCTCTGCCATCTCCTAAGACTGACACATCTTGCTTCTTTCGCTCAAGGATATTTCTCGAGCATCAGTGGGGTAACACGTCCTCTGTCTCAAGTGTGAGAGATGGAAAGAGGAAGCATCTTAGCTTCCACAAGATGCCCCTGCTCAGTATCTTGGGCAGTGTGTTGATAAAGACATCTGGATTTATAAAACTTATATGGAAAAATAAGTAGCCCAGCAGTCTGATGAAAAATAAGGTGATGAAAAAAAGATATCGAAAAATCCTGAAAAGAGAAAGCCAAGAAACTGTTAACCAGAGGTTAGAAAGCCTGCAACAAATTAATAAGTCATCTCTAAATGCATGTCTGGCTCCTTCTTGATATTCAAATGTCTCTTGCTCATTGTGTTCCATTTTCAACAACCGTTTATAAAGGCAGTCCCTTTCTATAAGCTGGCCTACCAGCTACTCTCTCCCCCATCACCATGTTTTCTTTTCTTTTAATTATTACTATCGGAAATTATCTTCTTTCTTTCTCTCTTTTTTCTTTTTTTTTGTTTCTGAAGATTGTTTTTACAAAGTAGTGGCACCAGTTTACACCCCACCGCAGGGTATATGTTTCTGTGAATCTGCATCCTCTCCAACACTTGATATGATCAGCTTTTGAAAATTCGGCCAATCAAATGGGTATAAAATAATATCTCATAATGGTCTTTATTTGCATTTTTCTGAACAGCGATGCCTAACAATTTTTCATAGGTTTATTGGTCTACTGTGTTTAATCTTGCCATTTATCTCCTAGGTCGTTTGGGCTTTCTTATTAATTGTAGGAGTTCTTTATATGTTCTTGATATATGTAGGCCTAAAAGATCTCCTATTTTCTATTAAGAGTTTGTGGTAGATAAAAATATGTCCACAAATTTTTTGATAGTTCTCCTCAATCGAGAGATTCCTTTCCACTGAAGTGTGGACTGGATTTAATGACTTTTTCCAAAATAGAATATACTGTTGTGGAGGTGAAAATGTATGGCTTCCTAGAGACTACATACTAAAGGCTTCATAACTTCTTCCTTAACTCTCAGGAGGAAACTTAACTCTCTAGCAGTCATATTGTGAGGACACAGAAGCAACTCTATGGAGAAGTCCATGTGATGAGGAACTGAGATTGCCTGCCAACAACCAGCAAAATTTTCCAGATGTGTATATAAATTACCTTAAAAATAGATCCTCTAGCCCTAGCCAAGCCTTCTAACGACTGTAATTTTGGACAATATCTTAACTACAGCTTCATAACAGAACCTAAGCAAGAACCGTCTAGCTAAGTGGTTCACAGATTCCTGACCCACAGAAACTGTGAAATAATAAATGTTAGTTGTTTGAAGCCACCAAGTTTTGGAGTAATTTGTTACATGGCAGTAAACAATTAATTCTGAGTTTTAAAAGATTTTTCCTTTGACATTTAAATTTGAAACCCATTTGTGCTTGCTTTTTGTATATACTGTATAGTAGTAATCCAATCTTCTTTTACTTGGATAACCATTTCCCCCCACCATATTTACTGAACAATTTTTCCTTTCCCCTCTGACGTACGATCACTGTCACATATCAAAGTTCTATATGTACACTGTTTCTGAGCTTTTTCTTCTGTTTCATTGGTAAATTTTCCCATTCCTGTGGTAATACTACGCTATCATAATTACTATAGCTTCATATTGTCTTGATATCTAGAAGGGCATGTTACCCACCCCTTGCTCATCTTTAAAGGTTATTTTTGATTTTTTACTTTTTCAAGTACGTTATTTTTTAGAATCATTTTATTCAATTCCATGACAAATATTTTGGGGTGTTTGGAATTGAATTGACTCTATTAATCATTTAGCAATAACTGATATATTTATGATAGTAAGTCTTCCTATCCATGACTGTGGTATTTCTCTGCTTTCATTCATGTTACCTCTAATATTTCCCATTGAATTTCTATACATTTTCCTATGGTGGTCTTGATTTCTTCTTTAACTGATAAATTATTTTGCCCTGGTGGTTTTAATATGATTTTCAGAAGCAAACCTTCATTGTTTTCTTTTCTGTATTACCTTATCCAGCTGTGCTGACCTGCCTCCTGCCCCAGGACAAATTCACTATGTATCTCCACTTACCAGTCAAAAATAGCCCCTTCCCGCCATTTTTAAAAAGTTTTCCTGTAGAGGTTATCTTGGTGACAGGAGTCAGGATCCATTATAGAACAGCATCCTGGTCAGAATTAGAATCAGAAGCTCTTTGCATACCTCTTCCCACCACTTTCTCTAAAGCTGGATATAATATTCATGAAAAGATTCTGAGAAGACATCTCTGGGATGATATTTCCAGGGAAAATCCTAGGACTAACCTAGCTTTCTTCTTTCTTGAGTCAGTGCCCAGTATACTAGTGCCCCCACAGATGTTGGAAGAGAACAAGAGGAAAAGAATTTGTAGGTTGATGTGACGAGCTAGAGTTGCAGTTTTCGTCAGTATACCAACTCTCTTTAAGGCAGACAGTCCTTATCCTGGAAGACTACACAGGTAATTCCATGCTGGGCACTGATATTAATTACAGGTGAAGACAGCCTAGGACTTCTAGGGAAAATTCTGCTAGTTATTCCAGGAACATTGTTTTTAGGAACATCAAAATATGTAATATTTTACTTATATGCTATGAAGGGGTATCCTCCTTAAACAAAATTTCCAGACAATTGGAGCTGACCTTTAAGCACCAATAATTTTATGTTAACCATTTTGATGAAACTCTTTCTAAATCATATTTCACACCACTTTGAATATGTTTCTCTATGTCTTCTTAAATAGATTATATTGAACATAATTTGATCTTTTCTTGAAAATTCAGGGGCTTCATGAATACCAATCTTACTTTGCTATCACAGTGATTCCCTCAGGACTAATATTTACTCAGTTCTTTGAATCTTGAGTTCTTATTTAGTTTAACAAGTATTTTTGAGCAATTATTATGTGTCGGATAGTGTTAGTGCTATCTCTTTTTCACAATAATTTTTCTCTTTTATCTGCTATTAGAGAGTGGTATACTTGCATTTAGAAGCTCTTGTCCCATCTCTCTCTTTTTTTATGTCAGAGAGTTAATACGATGACATTTTAACAAGGTGTGAAGGAGGACCATCACACACAACAGTGTGAAAACTCAATCATCATGCTTATGAGACAAAAAAGGATCTTCCCATTTCTAATCTATTGATGTCGCTAGGGAACCAGATACATCAAGCTAATTCAAATTGTTAAAGGGAAAAGGAAGTAAGTATGAGATTTGTTACGTCTCTTTTAGGTGATACGATTCATGTTTCTGATTGCTACTAGGCCATTGACTTCTAATATGGGAAAGTTGAGATTAGTAATTGCCTTTGAACAAGGAAGCCATAACATTAGAACTGAGAAGTGTAGTCATTGATCACACTAGTTTGTTGGCTTGACTCTGTGTGTGTGTGTGTGTGTGTGTGTGTGTGTGTGTGTGTACGTGTACGTGTGTACAAGCTTCTCCTTGTCTAGACTTGGCTCTCTGCCAGGATGGCTAAGTAGAACTTCCAGTTTTCCTGCAAGTTTACTCAAAGATATTTACTCACCTTTTACAAAACCATGTTCTCTTCTTCTGGAGAGAATTTTCCTGGGAGAAGAAGGGGCATTGATAAATAAGCAATTTCTGGAAGCTGTCATTACTGTCAAATAATATGTAGTGAACCATTAGTTAGATAATATAATTTTTTTCATATGCATAAACAGATCATCTTTGACAATTTATATATGTATAAAATTTTGTATTACCTTTTTATATACTGATAGGAATAAATGAAGGCATAGAAAGTAAAGTATGTTACCCAAAGTCATACAGCTAGTAAGTAACAGGCCAGGCCTTGAACCCCAGGTCTTCTGATTCTGGGCTCTCTTAAGTGCACCCTTATTTTCCATTTAGCCAGTAATCTTTAGAGATCTTTAAGGCTCTGAAAAACACACAAACTTATTCTAAGGGATGTTTTAAAACCTATTAAATGTAGAAATGAGGATATATCCTGGATTTCTGTGGCATCTCTCTTCTAAAATATTTTCTTAGTTATTTCATTTTCCTTTTAATTTCCTTGTCAGATAAATAGGAAGAGGAATTATGATCATTTAAAATTGTGGAAATGTGGCTCACAGAATTGGAATTAAAAAGAAACTTGCTGAGTTACAAATTTGGTTCTAAAGCTTGAGTGAGGTTGAGTGGAATGCCAGCTGGTTGGTTGCTCAGGCTGCCTCTCTGTAAAGATTGCTCAAACATCATAGGTCATTGAACTATCATGGGGCTCTGATAATCTTGATCAAGACAACTCTGTTTTTTCTCTGATAGGTAGTCAGAGGGAATAGTTTGATGAGCTACTGTGGGTAGACGGTGGGAAACATCAGGAAGCATGCCAAGCTTGGTTCTACTAGAAAGGTTAATTTTAAGAGTTTTGTTCGCTAAGTGCAATATGCAAGCTCGGGACCAGAATAACTTGTTCAGGACAATGGGAACCATTGCCACTGTGAACATTGTCAATGTATATTCAAACGTTTGAATGTCCAAGGACAATGATCAATTATTGATATTTCCTTTTAAGAAAGAGATGATTTCTCTTTTCTGAGATTATGAAGAATACATATCTCAACAACATAAAATTTCTAGTGAATGTCAATCTTGGCTCTAAAACAAATATAAATTACAAAGTTAAAGTTTTAAAAAAGTCTACGTTTTAGCACCATGTATTTGTTGCTACAAAATGCCATGTAGGCCAAGTAGCCTGGTGCTCTACATTCAATTCTATTTCCTTCAGACCCTTGCATATATTATGGTGACATCTTGATGTTAAATATGAATAGAAACTGAAGTCGAATCTTAAATAAGCAATGACTTCGTATGTTTTAATTCACAGGACAACTTTGGTAGATGATGATAGATGCCTGGCGCTCTATGTTATGAAAGATTTGGACCGTGTTGGGAATCATCAGGAAGGTACTGTGATTGTGGGATGTGGAAGGAGTGAGCAGTGTGTGTGTCATGTATTGGCCACAGAGTGTACCCTCAGTTAATATTACTTCTTGCTTATGTTCTGAACTGTCTTTGGTCTTAGGCTAGCTTCTCTGAGAACCTCATTTGCATGCCTGTAAGACAGCAAAGAAGGGATGTTCATTAGCATCCTCTTTGTTTGTTTAGGTTTGGAATGCTTGCAGTTATATGTAATACTGTTCTTGGATAATGCACATGGTAAGATTGATATATGCTTGGTAGCTTGTTGTATTTAAAACATTCTTTAGAAAGGCAATGACACTGAGAGAAGCTGAAGTTGGAGCGGAGTGCTTACCTTATTTTGGCTGTTACACTCTTTTCTTGTAGAGTTCATGCTCAAGACTTTTGATCTGTGAGAAAAGAACCAAAATAGGGATTGAATAAAGTACACTTAAATATTCATACTATGTGATGGTTATTTAAAAACATTTTTGTATTCTAAAGCTATGCCATCTCCTCTTATAGCCAGTAGCTACGTATAGGTATTTACATTTAAATTAATTAAAATAAAAAAAAATTAGCTCCTCAGTCACACTAGCCATATTTCAAGTACTCAGTAGGTAGCTAGTGGCTACCTGTAAGATAGCACAGAAAGTTCTATTGGGCAGCCATGTTCTAGAATCTTAGCATAGTATTCAAGCCGTACCTACTGCTCAGGAAGCATTTGAGGAGACTTGAAGAAATCCTTGAGGGGTGAGGATTTCCAAGTCCTGGTGCTTATGTCTCCAGGACACAGTGTGTACTTGGTCTGTTTAGAGGCTGTGTGCATTTTTGGGTATCTTTCTCTTTATCCCAAGATTCCAAAATATTTAGTAAATGGAAATACTTCTTGACTGAATTAAGATTTAGTTTCTAAAGAGGGTCAAGAAATAGAAGTGAAGTTTTTGGTTTCTCACCATTTAGATGCTTATTTATCATTTCTAATTTGTAATGTTCATCATTTAATATAGTATACAGTTTGATTTTTGTATAATGATATCTTTAATGTGTGTCTAGAGATTAGTTTTATTTCTATCCCACATAGTTTATTTTTTATTTGTTGGAGAAGTAAGGATGGTGTTAGGTTTTAAGGCCTTATTCTGTGATAGCAGGAGTGTCCTACTTATCAGGGTGCCTGACCAATAACTTTTTTTTAAAGCACATATTCTTGACCTTAATATAAACTTGAATAATTGATAATGTGATAAAATTATGAAGGGGGATGTGTTTCTCAAGTCTTTTGAGAATGACGAGAGAAGGACCTGCATTTTAAAGTTAATATGGTTGAGAGGTGGGGGTCAACCAGCTCACTAACAGAGGGAAACAATATGTGATGTTGGGGCTCACTCAATTCCAAATGGGAATTGGTCAGAGAAATGTTTGTTCTGACCCAGGCTGAGATGGAGTTACCACTAAAACCAGGATGTTCCTTTGTTTGCCAAAGCTCACACTTCTCTCTCAAGGAACCGAGTCTCTAATTCTTCTTCTATTTTCCTCAAAGTTTCCTGGTACTTCTTCAAAGAGAAATAAAAGAAACCACAGTTAGTAATTAGAAGCTTTATGCTTTTTCTAATCATAATAAGCATGTGTTATTACATTGTAACATGAATGTTTGGTATTCCCACTGCCACTTTATCTCCTTTCCTAGCCTTCCACACCACCACTACTGACCTCTCGCTATACTTCTCCACTAGGCCAGGCTCTGAGGTAATTGGGATTATAAACAAGAAAAGTGCTCATTATTAATTTAAGAGCAAAGAGGTTGGGAGACTGGGTCAGTAATAGAATGATATTGGTAGTAGAGTTTTGAGGACCCTAAAGTCCCTTTTAATGCTACCTTGAAGAGTTAAAATTGTTCCAGACAGTATTTTTTGAAAAGCTTGGTTCCATTTCATCCAGCACCTTAACAAACCCTTTGCTATCACTTTACTTAGAAGCTGTACCTTTATGCAGAGGGCTTGATCTTCACAGAGCTGGGCCACAAACGCAAAGTCTTCCATTGCCTGAGAAGCCAAAATTCAGTCTTAAATTTATCGCAGTAAATTGCTATAAGAACAAGAACATGCATATTTCCTCCTATGTCCCAGACCTTAAATGTGTTTTTCTGATTGTTCTAAATATGTTTTTGCTGTACATATGAACTCATTTCCTTTTTTGAGGATGAACAAGCAGTATTTTATAATCCCTATGAGAATTATTTGGGAACACTCGGGAGAAGAATAGATATTAATTTGTTGAAGATACAGATTATAGAATGTACCCTGTAAAAAATGTTAAAGAGAAGGTAACCTAGGGAACTGCATTTATCTTCATCCTCTTTTCTTCACCCCCTCGTCAGCTCCATAATGGTCTGGATTTGGAATTTTATTATAACTCAAACATTTCAGGAATATATTAGATCATCTGACAGAGAATTATCTTTTTTTTTTTTCTTTTGGAAGAAGTAACTAACATTGAAGTTACTATTCTTACCTTGGTCAGCTCCTTCTCTTGGTCATCACAAGAAGCTTCCAGCTGTTGTAACTTAGCCTATAAAAAGGAAAGGAGACTGGTAACTCAACGAGGTGAAAACCATACAGGATTCTATTTTGAAATGCTCTTTGAAAGGCTATCTCAAAGATGGTTGAAGTACATTAGGCATGATTTCAGATGTCTTTTAAATAGAGGAGTCAAACCATCTAGCATCCTATGTAGCTGCCTGGTCAACCTGCTCTTCTATACTTTCAGCCTCTTAGCATTCATCTGTGCTTCCTTTACCCCTAAACTTCAATTCTTAGCTTCCTTCTTTCTTAGTTATTTCTCTTAGAAAAAAATCAATCTTGAAAAACTTCAGTCTTCCTTTTCCTTTTACATATTCATTTCTCACTCACTTCTACTCTCTCTGTATTCCTTCTTCCCTTTATTCCTTCCTTAAATATTGGATGAAAGCCTTTTTCTATATTGGCCACTGTGCTGGAGTGACAGGGAGGGGGCAGGATGAGTACTGAGGATACAATGGTAACAGGATTGGTAGGCTCTCTGCCTCACAGAACTGACATTCTAGTTGGGGGACATAAAAATAAGTCAACATGAAAATGATAAGTGCTATGAAGGAAATGAAAACAGAGTAATGTAATGAGAGTGTGTGATGGTGTAAGAGCTATTATAGGTGGTTGGCTAA